ATGGAAAATTCTCCCGGTCTATGGTAATGGTAACCTTAATAAATAAATACCATTATCGAACGATAACCCAAATGGTTGAACTTTTCCACAAATGGTTTTAATGATATCCCAAACACGTCGTTAAGCAAAATAACCATAACAATTTTATTAGGGAAACTAACAGTCCACAAGACTTTCAAAACGGAAATAACCACCCGTTCGATGCGTGAGTACATCGTTGGAGCTGGGAATCCTGGAGATCCATGCAGAGGTGTTTTGTGTGTCAGACAACGAGGAATGTGGTGTCAATCCAACAACCATGCAGGCGTTTACCGATTCCCCTAAAGGACGTAGTTGAAGGAAAGCTGAACGATCAATTGAAGTAGGATGTATCGAACTGGCGCCGTTAAATATTACATGGGCATTACCTTTGGTAGTCACGCACAACTATGCACATGTCTGGTTTGAAATCAAATTCATTAATTTTTAAATTTTTTTATTTGTAGACGTAAAACATGCTTAAAGATACTTTCAAAGTTTAACAGAATGTTCTTCTTCTGAGAGCGTTTCACAATAATATAATTTTCATTTTCTGGCCTAAAATTATGATATGACTGTGTTCCGGAAATTTGTTTGACACGATTATAACGGGTTTTAAGTTTTCTTTCCAACGCTTTATGATCTGCGAAGACGAAGGAAGAACATGACGCCAGAGTCAAACTAGTTCTAAAGCGGCTTGAAGAACATGGATTGACGATCAACAACAAGAAGTGTGAATTTGGAAAGAGGTTAGTAAACTTCATGGGTCACACCCTGTCAGAGCAAGGCATACTGCCAATGAACGTAAGATAAGTGCCATCCAGTTTTTTTGGTATCCGCAAAACTCAGCAATGCGTAGCTTTCTGGGGCTAGTGAACATGTTGGCAAGTTCATTCCAAATCTCTCGGAGATGTGGATACTACAGTCTACAGAATCGCACGCTGCTTATCACCGATGCCAGTGGAAATGGATTGGGGCCGTCTTGGTGCAGATTATCCACAACGAATCTCGAGTGATTAGTTATAAAAGCAAAAGCTTAACAAATATGGAGCGAAAATACTCGACGCTAGACAAGAAGGCCTTGGCCTGGCCATTGCTTGGGCGACAGAGCGGCTCCAAATGTACCTAACAGGTCTGGTATTTACAGTCCTGAGAGACCACAAACTGTTGGACCCTCCCTTTGGCTAGTTTTTGCACCTTGTTGCTGGTGGGCGGGCTTAATTTCATGTTAGTGGAGTGTTGGAGACGGTAGGTTTATGGCCGGCGTTGCTGGCTCATACAGCGATAGAATGGCGCCATGGGCAGGCGATGGGAATTACTAAGCTTTCCCTTTCTGATGAGCCACTGCATGAGAGAACCTAAGATCTAGTCTAGCAGTGATAGTATCACACTTGTTACTCCTTTGTTTGAGAGCAGCGTTGTAATACGCTTACGTATAGGCACTAACGTTGGGTGCGATACTAGCGGTTTTTTGTTCCACAAATCACTTATTTTTACGCAGATACATTTATTTGGGTTTACAAGGGAATTAAACTACTGAAATATTTCAGAAAGTGCCCAACAGTGCTCCTTCTATTTGCGTGACAAGCTTTCATTGTTGTTTTCATTGAAGTATTACCAACCGGTGGAACCTAAGGATTTTAAATTGGCTCACACTGGACTAGCCTATCGGTCCCAAGTACATCGATGAACGTACCCATTTCAGTCGAAATTCTAGTACTACACAATATTTGTTTTGATTTGCCATAAAAGTTTGACAGATAAAATGAGGGATTCGTGGATTTTCCCATGTTTCGAGGGGTGCATCGATTAGCTTGGGACCGAAGAGAGTACCAGAGCTGAGCCAAAAAGTTGAGCAAGTTTCTTCGGGGCCTTATGGTCTTAGAGTTATCTCTATAGTATGGAGATGGAGAAAAAAGGACATACCTCAAATCCCCTCATCCATCAATGGTGTAGCTTGAGTCATTTATCATCTGAACGCACTGTTTATTTTACTGTTTGTTTTGAATTGTTTCCTCTTTCAGTGCTGAAAAGTTCGTCACGATTAATTTTGTTTAAAAGAAGCTATACTTGATGGAAGCCGTGAACCTAAAATCAATTTTAGACACCCTCTTGGAAAATCGCGAAGTCGTTGAAATTGACGACCGGGTGCAGTGTTCTCAAACTTTTCCGTGAGCGGCGTACTATCGATCGGCAGGATCACAGCAAACGTCGTAGTGGAATGAGGGATCGGAAGCTGCATTTGAAGGTGCTGAGAGCGGTTACGGCAAACCCAGGGCTGTTTAATTATGATATCGCCAAGAAATTCAATGCCAGCCAAAGCACCTGCAGAAGGACTCGTCTGCGAGAAAGATTTCGATCTTTTCCGGCCAGTAAGCAACCAAACAGGACACTGAAGTGAAGCAGAATCTAACAAAGTACGAAGGATGTGGACGACGAAACGTACGTGAAGATGGATTATGGGCAGCTTCCCGGACAAAAGTTCTATAAAACCACTGGTCGAGGTGTTGTCCCTAGCAAGTTCAAATTCGTTTTTGCCGATAAATTTACAAGAAAGCTTACGATCTGGCAAGGTAACTGCAGCTGCGGGCAAAAAACCTAGTTTTTCGTGACAAACAAGACTATGCATTCCAAAATGTACAAGCAGGAGTGCCTGAAAAAACGTATTCTTCCGTACATTAAGGCTCACAATGGACCTGTGAAGTTTTATCCTGATTTGGCAAGCTGCCACTACAGCGGAGAAGTTCTACAGTGGTAGCGAGACAATGGGGTGGATTTCTTCGAAAAGGACATCAATCCACCCAATTGAGAAAAATTGGGCAATTGTCAAACAGAAGTTGAAGAAGAGTGGAAAGGTGACTCGGGATGCGACAGAGCTGAAGAGATTGTGGAACAAAATGGCCGTTCAGGTTAGCCAACAGAGTGTCCAAAATATGAGAAGTATTCGAAGAAAAGTTCGCGATTTCATCAAAACCGAATCGGAATAATTTGTTTCGCTATTTTTCCTTTAAAGTGACCTTCATTGTGAGTTCTCAACATTTTTATTTCATTAAGATGGTTCCGAGATACATCCGTTTTTTGCGTCTAGATTTTAAATTACTCAAGCTTTATGATCTAGGTAAATGACTGCGGGTTTGATTAGCATTGTCGCGCTATTGGCTCTTCGCTCAATTTCACCTTATGTTCAATTTTCACGCTGCTGTACTCCAGTGGAACTATCAATCTATCCTCTTCAGATCTTCTTCATGTTGATATTAGTCTAGCATCTCCTCCCAACTCTGAAAACCGTTAACGTCACGTACGAAATTAACAACACACTTTGATTGAAACTGTCAAAAATGAATCTGCAACACGATCAGCGCAACGCACTGTTTTAAATATCCACCTCCTCAAGGTGGTTTGTTTAAAGAGACGTTAATAGATGGAAGCACTGTTTTCAAAAGTTGTTTGGTATTCATCCCTATGTCTGCATGCGCAAAGTTTGTTTGCTGCGGTGATTTTAGCACAAACGGACAAGGTGATTCTGATTCAAGAACATGTCTTCAGGAACAAGATGATTTACAACAACGTAATCCAGTGTCAGGTAACGAGTTCGAACCACGAGAAGAGGTCCCGGACGAATCTGCTCTCGAAACACGTATAGAAATTACTATCTGAAGTGCGATTCGATGATGGAGGAGATTCCGGTGGCCATCACATTCAAAGCTATGGGCACTAATTCGGATAAGGAGATTAGGCAAGTGGTAAGCATCGATACGGATGCCGTTTCGATGCTGGAAGCGGTGAATCGTGGTTTATACGCAACAGCGGGCTCTGGAGTACATGGGATTGAAGCTGCTTGTGATGTGGTTTACGATGGCATCAAGTATAAGACAACGGTCGACTGGGCGAGAGATTTGCAAGCGGTGAGCAACTCGTGAATCGCTAATGTAAATTTGCTTCACAGGTGAAAGCAACCTACATCTCAGCGTTCTAAATGATGACCAGTGTGAGCTCACACTTTTAGAAAACGTGGAAGGTTCGGTGCAGCCAAGTCTGTGGGAAAATGCGTATAATCTATACCGACATCCTACAAGCTTCTCTATACGGTCAGAAAGGTGGTATCAGATTAATTGTCGATCAGGTAGATCTTCCATTCAACGATGGTGGAATGTCACCGGTTCTAATCATGAACTCGAACAGTTTCTTCGCGTGTGATAGTCGGTAAAGCTGGAGTTTTGGATGGTACATTCCAATACGGAACCGCCTTCGTTGGATCCAAGTGCCAAGATCTACAGGATGAGCTGTTTAGGAATGGTTTCAACTTCCTTGGAAAGGATTTCTTCTGCTCCCTGTTTTATTCGGTAATCACCAAAGAACCTCTCTAAACGTACATCTATTCCGGTCCTCTACCTCTACCGGTCTACTACCAAAAACTAAACCACTTGACCCAGGATAAAATACACGTGTCTCGATCAATAACTGAAATGGCCCAACAAGCTTTTGTAAACAGCATATTGTAAGCCCTTTCCTCGCAAAGCTGCCCACACAAATATCTGAGTCTTTGGAATAGATTCTGAGCAACCTAGTTTCTTGAGAGGATATCTGAAAGACGTGATTTCAATTTTTGGACAGTAGAAAATCTTCAGAATAATACTTGAAGTTGAAGAAATCGGGCTTTTTTAAAGTTCCAGTTCAAAACAAGTCACCATGCACGGGCATCCAACCACTTCGATATCGTGAGATTAGCAGCGCTGTTGATGACCTGGACAGTGCACTTCGTAGATTCATTATTGATTTCGGGCAGAAAATCAGTGCTGGAAGATAAGTAGTTCATAATTATTCGCTGGGTTTCGGAGTAGTAAGACTAATGAAACTATGTAGATATTTCATTGACCATCCGCAGTAGGAATGCTCAGTTCTGACTATTCAGTAACCCCTCTTCTTGTAGACCTCAGTTCTTCGAGTGTCACTTCAAACTTACAACACATTTCCGCTTCTAGATGCTACCAGCAGTGCTAAGAAGGAGCAATTCCAGCCGGCTCGTCCATCGACTCCACGCGCATCTACCACCAATTGGACAGCAATCTCAATTCCATCCCCCAACCAAGCACCACTCCCACCGAGCCAAGCCTACCCCTTCAGGAAGCGCTCGCTAGTTACTCATTACCGTATTCAAATGACACCCAACCACAACCGGGTGTCCGGCCAATCGGTAGAATCGATCGAAATCCTGGACACCACCGACGAAGAAACCGAAACCAGCGGACCGTCAACGGTCATCGCTGCTCCCGAGCCGGCAGCGAAAGAAGTACCGAAGCTCCCGGGAAACACCGAATCGATCCAGTGCCCCTTCTGCTGCAAGGTCTTCTTTTCGTCACACGCGCTCATGCTTCACGGCCAGAACTGTGCCGACGCTGTCCTGTTTGGGAACCCAGCGACCAACGAGCAACAGTCGTCCAGCAAAACGGCAACCAAGAGCGTGCTCAAATCTTCCACGGAAAAATCCAAACCGACGGATCCAAATCGACCGAAGCAGGAACCTGATCAGCAACCGACATCGGGCTCAACAAAGAATGTCACGCAGCGCCGTACTATTCGCCGGTTGAGTATCGAAATACTGCCTACGGCATTCAGTATCGACAATTTGCTGCTGTGCGATGTCTGCAAGAAGACATTCCGCAGCCAGGTCCACCTGGCTGTGCACCAGAATATTCACAAAACACCGACCGTGTGCCAATTCTGCAAGAAGAAGTTCTACGAGCCACCGCCGAAGCACAATTGCCAGGAGATGAAACGATCGGTAAGTTGAGCAGCCGGTAGGTAGGTTGATGCCGATTGCCGATTTTTCGTCGAATGACTGAGGGAAATTTATAGAGAAAAAATAATGTTTATTCTTTTCAGAAGCAGCGGAAGTGAAAGAGGTTGGGCTTTCTTTGGAATCGTGATTGCCTTGGAATGGTGGTGGAAGCTTAATTTTGAAACCGGTTGAATTAATTTTTGTTTTTGTAAAGTTGTGTGGTTCGAGGTTGAATTGAATTAAACATAAAAATAAAGTATTCTTCAACAAAACGTGTTCCCTTTGTCCTTCTTGCTTTTGGGACAGATATTTATTCGAATGGGTATTTTTAGGCTCTGAACCATTTGGCGAATTTTTTTAACTTTTGGTTAAAATTTGACAGATGGAAAGTTATTGATTAACCCTGCTATCCGAGCATGGTTATTTCTGACAGACAAGAAGTTAAACTTTGACAACCGTGGCTCGAAAACCGGTCGATCGACAGCACGGGGATTTTCGAACATAGAAAATAACTTTCGAAATGTCACTTTTAACCACGAATTAAATTTAACTCGGCAAATGGTTCACAGCCTTAGTGCGTTCCATTTGGTGAATTTTCACTTAAATTTGACAGGTGGATAATTTTCAAATAAACCTGCTATTCCATCAGTAGACCTATTTCTGACAGACAAGGAATCAATTTTGACAGACGCTTTCTCGAAAATTGGCCGATCAACAACAGAGGAAATTTCGAACATCTTAATTTATTTTCGAAGTGTCAAATTTAAGTAAAGCTTTTCCAAATGGAACTTGGTCCTTTCTTATGCCGTATGTTTTTGGTAGTAACAAATTGCATTATTCTATAGAACTAAAGTTAGTTATCAAATCAATAGAAATAAGAGAGTTGAATTGAACTCAAAATCAAAGTGTGTTGTCAAATTTTGGACAGATTTTTGTATAATGACGCATAGGAACACCATTCACAATTTTATGGGGGAGCTAACATTGAAAATGTGTTTATTTTCAAAATAACTGTTAATGTCATGGGTCATGCTTGTATTTTCCAACCCAATCTCAAAATAAGCAACTTAATTTGTCACCAAGAGTCGATGAAAGAAGGTCCTAAGGACATAAGGTCAAAGATTTCGATTTCGGTTCGACAAAATTTGAATTCCAGTTTCAGGTGGAAAATGAATAACATTTTCAAAGCGATTTCTGAAACCTTAACTATGGGAATACATATTCTACAGATGTTCATGCGTTCAAGGAGTATGAGGTTCAACATACAGTCGGTCAAATTTCATACATTCATTTTCATTATTTCAAATACGATAAAGTTTTTCAGTTTAGCTTAGCTTAGCTTAGACGGACTGCCCAGATCAATGGTTGCTACACCGTGAATGATGCAAACCAGTGAAATTGCACAATGAATCAACTTGAATGATTGACTGGGAGTGGTCGTTCATTATCAGTGTAAAATTTTCCGTGATTCCAAATACTTAAGGATCAATAACGGCGCTGGCCACGTTCTTGTAATCAGGTGGGAATGGGAAAGGAATGTTAGCGCGTGTTCTTAACTGTATTGGAGACCGAGTATTAGCTCTGCATCCCAACGAAGATAGAGGGTTAGGTTTGAATAATTATGAATCACCTTGATTACTGATGTGATTATGGTTTTGATACAATGTTCTGTTATGTTCGGAGAATAAAATTTATTTTAAATAAATAAGTGATCATTCAATATTCTCGAATTTGCCTGAACGAAGGCTGACAAAAGTGAATCATTATCAGGGTGTCGACTACCTGGAAAAACCTGGAAAGTCAGGGAATGTCAGGGAATTCTATTTATGATCTGGAAAGTCAGGGAATGTCAGGGAATTTTAATGTAGGTCAGGGAAAAAAAATAATGTTGATCACATTGCAAAAAATCATGTGTGGGACACATAAAACAATCTTTGAAATTTTATCAGTGCATGACGTCAAAGTTTTTGGGAAGATCCCGGGCATCAGATCTACTCGCTGCGTTTATGGACGCCCTTGCCGGTATCTCTTCGAACAAGTTGCTGGAAGTGTCCATGGATGGGCCCAATGTGAATTGAAGCTAGAGGTACAAAAAGGTGGCAGAAGCTGATAGATCTGGGAAGCTGTGGGCTGTATATTTTGCATAATGTATTCAAGGATAGTGTTTGCAGTATCAGTTGGAATGTTGTCAAATGTTTGCGTGGTATCTACAATATCTTCAAAGATGTACCAGCAAAACGAGCGTTTATCACGATGTATTCTGGATCTACCATATTCCTGCTAAAGTTTTGCGGTCACCGATGGTTGGAAAATATTGCTGCTGTTCAGAGAGCAATCAAAATTACTCCGCAAATACGAAAATTCATTCAAGGTGTCCAGAAAGACAAATCGAACCAACGTCAGCTTCCTACCAAGATGTTAAAAACTGTTTGAATGTCTCGCTGCTGATGGCTAATAGTACGTTCAGACTACAGATTTAAAACATGTTATAGCACTATCTTGATGGTGGTTTCTGTTTTGCAATTATTGACAACCGTTATAACATGTTATTACTCTGTAGTATGAACGTGGTATTAAGCTAGCTTTCTTCAAATCAGTTGCTGTCGAAGTTGAGCCATTTCAATGCGAATTTCAGACGGACAACCCTATGGTGCCTTTTTTGTGCAACGTGATGTCTCAAATGGTTAGAGGCATTATGGAAAGGTTCATTAATATTGACCATCTGAACAATATTGCACAGGTAAATGCACATTTGATCAATATGATCGCAAAAAGGAACGACTGGACGTTTTTTGGCACAGGTTATTGGTCGGCGTATTCAGAACTATTGTTGGTTGTGAAAATGATTTGCTGCTTATCGCATGGCAACGCCAATGCAGAGAGAGGTTTTTCGGTAAATGCAGAATATCTTTTTGAAAACATGAGGGAAGAGTCAAGGCCCAAGCGCAATTAAAGCGGAACGGCAGTGGTAGCGGAAAAGCCCGATCTGAGTAAGCCTATTTGTCGGATTGAAAACTAGTTAGAATCAAATCGAGTGCGGTTAGGCATCTTGATGTCATTTGTGACAATTGTCAAACTTGCCGTTTCCGTTCCGCTTCCGCCCACATTACGTTTCAGTCCCCGAGCAGGAACCGATAGCTAATCGATAACAAATGAATATCTTAATGTGGTATGATACCATATTTTGGTATGCATGTGGTATAAAACCTTGTTTTGATTTTGATCACTTATCGAAATATTTTGTAAAATATCAAATGAATACCAAAATAACAAAATGTGATCTTTCTGTTTTTAGACAATTACACCTAAAAGAGTTATTGAATTGGTATTAGAAGACCTTCAAAATAACAAACTATGGTATTCTGGTATCTTAATAAGCATCTGTTATCCGTTTGTTATTGTAATAACAAAAATATTTATTATTTCGTTATTCGTAGAACATTTTTTAGGTATTATTTTTGGTATTTTGTATGTCAGCCTCACTTATACCATATTTAGGTTGCCAGTTATGCTATTTCCATACCTGAATTTGGTATTAATAAGTCATTTTTCCTGGTCGGGTCGTAGCGTGTTACTCATGCAGGCGGGTTGGAAAACTTACAAATTTTGAATGAACTTATTCAGCGAGTTCGAAAAATCGCATTCGCTTTCCATGTAAACAAGGATCGTCGTATGAAAGAAGCTGTCAATTCCGAGAGCTCAAGATGCTCAAAAAGAAGCCGAGAGTTTGCAGGAGAAAATTATTCTGCTCAAATGATAAACATTTTTAAAATTAATCCGAAAATAATCACATAGGGTTTTGATCTAATTTCCGTTCTACTAAGCACATCTCGCACTTTACCTCTCTTTTTTAATGGGTTTGAACAAAACATGGAATGTTTTCATCAAAGATAACTTTTAAATTTATTCACCTTTCCATACGTGCCGTTGGATTTGATAAAGAGTCAAACAATGTTGAGATATTATTAAAAATCTAACACTGCTTCTTGATTCTAAATTCGTCCTACAAGATTCAATTCCGTCCTAACGCATTGCAACGCTATTAAATTTTCTTCGTCCTACTGATAAACGTAGAAAAAGAGAATTCGCTAGGAACGCTTCTTTTGTTTTAAGAACAATGAGTGTAAATATTCATACAATTCGCTGTAATAGGCTTCATGTTGTGGCTTATGAACTAACGGATCAGAACAAACGTATTATTGTTTCGTGCATGGTGAAATCGTTGACATTATTGATGATTTCTGCTCGATAGAACGGAAATGGGCGATTACGACGAAGTAGCGCTCTTCCCTATTCAACTTGTAATTTCTGTTTGTAATAGTACGTTCAGACTACAGAGTTATAACATGTTATAGCGCTATCTTGATGGTGGTTTCTGTGTTGCAATTATTTGACAACCGTTATAACATGTTATAACTCTCCAGTCTGAACAAGGCATAATGTGAACTCACTGAGAGAATAAAATGTTAATGATAATTAAACATAAATTTATTTGCCATGTCTGCGGTTGTCATATGGAGTTCCAGAGAGTACGAAACTGACTAATCCTCAGGTTCGGTTGCCAAAGCAAGAATAATCACTGCTCTGTTATTTTACAATAATTTATATGTTAAGAAAAAGGATCGTCTACGGGATGATGTTGATATGGCTGTGAAATTATGAACACAAATTGAGAGCTTGGTGACATTGATTAAATATTCCTATTATTACTTAGTAATGAATAGTGAGCCTAGTTGTGAGCAGTAGTTATTTATTATTATATTATAATATGTATTTATAACTCTAGGTCTATTCACATCCTTCGTAGGTAGTCGGTCATATGGTCTGTAAAAATTGTATTAGTATCAAGTTCTGTTGTACGTGCCATGAGTGTGCTATTCTTGATATTTTCGAAAGCTTGCCCTACTGCTCATTTTAAACTAACCTTAATTTACACTACGGTAGCACATCACGGTGTAGGTTCTTAGGTTTAAATAACGAAGTTTTGTGGTCTGGAATTTTTCTGAAAACCGAATGGAAAGTCAGGGAAAGTCAGGGAATTTTATTTTCGACTTTGAGTCGACACCCTGATTATAACCCGGAAATTTCCCTGCTAGTACCCTGGATGCTAAGTGTTGCCCGTTGTCTATTGTTAAGTGTTCAATCTATGCAATCTTTGGTTGAAGACGGTTTCAATTGTCTTATCTTTTCTTCATTCAAGCGGGGAACCAATAGTTAATCAAT